CCCCCTCTGTCAATCCCTGCACTGGCTTCCTATAGCCCAAAGGATAAAATTCAAAATATTAACAACCGCGTACAAAGCCATCCACAACTCTGGCGCCCCGGCTATATCTCCAACCTGGTCTCAAAGTATTACCCTAACCGTCCCCTCTGCTCTTCACAAGACCTCCTGCTTTCCAGCTCCGTCATCAACTCCTCCCATGCTCGCCTCCAGGACTTTACTAGAGTGTCTCCCATCCTATGGAACTCTCTACCCCTACCTGTCCATCTATCTCCCACACTGACTGCCTTTAGGCGATCCCTTAAGACTCATCTCTTCAGGGAAGCCTATCCCACCTCACCCTAGCCACTGAACAATCACTTTCTCAAACAATCACCCCCGCGCAGCTACCTCCTCATGTATCACTTGCCCCTCCCTTTTAGATTGTAAGCCCTCATGGGCAGGGCCCTCCTTACCATCTTGTCTTAAATTGTATTGTGGCTGTAATGTCTTCCTTTTATTGTAAAGCGCTGTGCAAACTATTGGCGCTATATAAAACCTGTATAATAATAATAATAATTTTGTTTATTTCTAGATTTTAAATGGATGTTTGGGGTTCAAATCTGTGCCTTTTGCAAATAATTTTTGAACATAGGCATAACAATTGCATGGGCTGTTTTTGCTGCATATAAATTACACTCTTTGTTAAATTCTAGATTTTAAAATTGATTTTGAGCGCCCTTTTTAAAATGGGGCTTAGTAACATTGTGGGCATTGAACATTGCGGCGTGCACCCTGTGCACAAGGCAGAGGTTATACCCATGCAGCTATTAGGTGCCTAGTAAGTTCTGCATCTCCAAGTGGAATAGAAAAATGTGCCTAAATTATATGATTAACCCTTTAAAGTGAGGAGCACACCCATAGGACTATTGCGTGTCAAGTGGGAACCTTGGCCATACCTAGTAGAGTATGCTGTAATTTTTATTTCACAATAAAACTTGCCTGGTCTCTACCTTTAAAATTCAGCCTAGAAGAGCCAATTACATAGTGTATAATGTATTAACATAGCTTGTGGGGGCCATGTTAAAAATGGGGCCTGGTAAAAATAATTAAAAAAAGTCTAGGAATTATTTTTTTATGAAAACTTACATTGGTCCATCTTGGTTCAATTTAAGTATCCATATCTGAACTCCAGAGGGCCATTGGGGGTGCTGAAAATTACTGTAGTAGTCCATTCTACATACTGTGTTAGCTGGTCTCCTCTGGCTGCAGCTTCAGTGGCTTCCCCACTGCACATTGAGCACAGGTAAGCACTTTTTCAGCATCTCCATCAGTCAGAGAGCACCTTGTATTTTTTTTTCCAATGAATACAAGGCATTCTCTGATTGGATGAGGTGGATTTAATTGGGTGGCATCACAGTCTCTATCTTAATTAAAGAATGGCTTGTATTCATTTAAAAAAATACAAGGCATTTTCTGAATGGTGGCGGTGCCAAGTGAGTGACATCCTGTTCTCAGTGTGCAGAGGGAGAGAGACCAGATATCACTATATGTAGTGCACACTACTAAAGTGATATTCAGTATCCCCGGTGGCCCCTGATTTTTTTCAGCCCTCCAAAAAATACACTCTAATGTTCTTTTTTAGATTTTAATATTGTTGATAGCAGGCCCTTTTTTTTGGGGGGGGGGGGGGGGGTGGCTTTGTTAAAAATCTGTTAGTAAATGACTCTCTAAAGTTTATGTCTAGATTTTAGAATGATTTGGGGGGCTTGTTTGAAATAGGATCTAGTGCAAGTAATTTATTATTGTGCACATAGGCACTACAATATTTTGGGGGCTTTTTTCTGAGAATGACACTCTAATGCTGGTTTATTTATTTTAGTATGGCAGCCATGGGTCCTTTTCACTATACAGCCTAGTGCAATTGATTTAACACAGTTTGTGAGGTAATTTTTTTGCAAATAAATTACACTATAATGCTGATTTCTAGTTTTCAAAATGACTGCTGGGAGTCCTGTACAAAAAGCATTTCAAAACTGATCACAAACTGAGGCAGAGGTTATGCACATGCAGCATAAGCCACGGCTTACACATTATGCTTTATTTTTTATTGTACATTAAAACCTGCATGGTTTGAAAAGGGCCTACAAAAGCACTTACATAGAATGTAAGGTTGATTTCTAGATTTTAAAATGGCTGTTGGGGATTCTATTCTATTCTATATAGTGTTGATTTTCAGATTAAAAAATGTCTTTTGGGGGTCCACTTCAAAATGGGACCTAGTACAAGTACTTGTATCTAGTGATGGGCCGAACAGGCTAGAGTTTGGATCGAATTCAAACTTTAGAACATCCAAAAGGTTTGAATTCGAACTCGAACTCAATGCAGGTCCATGGGGGTAGAACTTTCAAAAACAATTGTCCCCTTTAAGAGGGCTTATATGCAAGTTATTGGCCATAAAAAGTGTATGGGGATTCGGGTACTGCTCTGGGGGACATGAATCAATGAAAAAAAACTTTTAAAAAAGTTTTTAAAGGAGCAGTGATTTTAAATCACTTAAAGAGTAACAATAAAAATGAAAAATACCTTTAAATATAATGCCTGGGGGTCGCCTTTATCTGCCTCTAAAGTGGCAAATCTGTACGATGTATAGAACCTGCTGCAGCAAAACTGACATTTGTGAAGTAAATTAAAATGACTGTTTTTTTAAGCGTGCGGTTTCCCTTCCCAAATAATACCAGACCCTTTAGGTCGGGTAGGAATGTTAGGAGGGACCCCATTAAAAAAAGCATGGGGTTCCCCCCAAAAGTCATATCAGACCCTTAAGGTCTGGTAGGAATTTTAGGAGGGACCCAATGTAAAAGAAAACAAATAAAAAAGTGTGTGGGGTCCCCCCTTAAAGTCATACCAGGCCCTTAAAATTTGGTAGGAATTGTGAGGAACTCCACCCCCAAAAATGAGGGGGAAAAACATGGGTCCCCCCTAAAATTCCCAACCAGACACCCTTGATCTGAGCACAGGCCTGGCAGGGCAGGAAAGGGGGGGGACAAGCAAGCGCCCCCCCCCTCCCTGCGATACCAAGCCACATGCCCTTGGCACTGGGAGGGTGCTTTTCCAGGGTTGCCCCGGGAAAAGCACATTGTCCCTGTGCCGATGGGGACAAGGGCCTCTTCCCCACAAGCCCTTTGGTGTTGGTTGTGGGGGGTGTAGGCAGGGGGCTTATTTACATCAGGGTACCCCTTTAATAAAGGAGTGTGGGCATTTGGCTGCCAAATTTTCTCATTGAGGTGCTACTTCAACCCAATACTTTGGTACATAGTCATGTGATATTTTTTTTAATTTCACATGTAAATTAAGTGATGCCAGCATGCAGTGTCACTGACGTGTTAGTGAGAATCACACTGTTCCATAACACATATAGAGCTTAAAAGGCATCTCTCAAGCATGTAATTGAAAAAAACAGGTATATTTCCAATGTCTGCCTTTGAAGTCACATAAAAAGACCCTCTCCTAGCTAAAGAGTAAAATCTAGAGTCATGTATTTTGGTGTCGGCAGTGCCCAGTTCCCTATTCCCTTTGTTTGACAATTTCTTGCCTTTTAGCCTTAAAAATAGCCAGAACTTTTTATTGCATTATCAACACAAAACATGTTTCTCTAACTAGTTATAGAAGAAATATCACAACAACGAAAACATATTTTGTGAATCACCCAGCGGACCCCATGCATGTAGCATTTGTAGCATCCCATTTAGATTTGTGATAGTATTTGGAAATAAGTGCTGACTGTAGCTCTACCCCCGACTAAACTCATAATATTGGAGTTCCCATGGGGAAGATACATCCAGCACCCCCTTCTCTGTGAGTTCCAATGATCAGGTAATCCAGAATGGTAAAATTGTTCTGGATTGTGAAGGTCTTGCTCCGAGGAAGGGGTTGGTTACCCTGAAATGCGCTAGCACGGCCCCCCCTGTTGGGTTGCACCTACCGCTATACAGCATTCTTGGACTATCAGACCCTGTTATTGATATGCCTGGGGCCTTCATTATTTGGTTAATAAACATTCTGCACTTTGAAGTGACGTGTTCTGTGTTTTGTTGCATGTTGTCAAGATTCCAGTGACTTCCTGGTTGAGAGGGCAGCCACATGGTTCCTAGCATTGGCTGAATGACCACCATTTCCATTGGTTTGCGCCAGCCTGAATATTGCCTATTAAAAAAATTGTTGTTTACATGCCTCATGGCCCATTAGCAGTTACTCACACCAGTAACTCATCTCTTATTAGATGGCTCAGCCAGACAAATAGTGCCTAAAATCAAGCAGCTCTGCTGTGCTGTATTTTTAGCTAACCCATTGCTATAGTAATTTATAAAACCACTGGCATGTGTGTCTGTGTATGTGTGTATAAATTACCAACAAACATGGAGGAATCATGGGGTAATCATGAATGGGGTATACCTTGTACCCAGACTGTGATGTTTGTGCAAATACATTTCCAAAAGGAGACGGCTAAACGAAAGGTAGGAAAGTTGAATCAGGCTCTGAATTTTAGCCAGGGAGAGGGTGGATGGGATCCCTGTCTACCAATACATCACTCCATGATTGTTCTTGGCTGAGAGCTCAAGGATCCTGAATAATGTGTTGGGATATTGTCTCTTAGGCTGAAATCAGTTTTTGTTTGTTTTTGTTTGAAGTAACTCTGAGAGTAAAAGACTTTGCGTGATGCTTTTGAATAAATGTGGGTATTTAATGTGCAGAATCTGTGTATCAAATAAACAATAAAAAGTGTGCTGCAACTATCTGTCTGTCTTTCTATATATTGGTGAAACACAGGTTTTATCTATTATTTACAGAACTGGTGAATTTTACTATATGTTACATATTTTAATTTTATGTATTAAAAAAATAAACTGTAACTTTCTGTTCCACTGATTCTGGCTCCATGAATAGATTTGGCTGAGAAGCCTCCCTCAGATTTGTGCCTCCCTCAGATATGACCCCTTCCAAAGTTTTTCACTGCCAGTCTAACCAAATCACATGCCATGTTCCCACCGCACACTGTTCCCCTTTTCCAGGGTGGACTTCTACAACCCCACCCCCCCCACCCCACCCCCAACCAAAGTCATCCTTTGTCCCCAAACCATGCTCAGCCCTGTTCACTGCATTTTTTGCCCTTTTATGATCATATGCCTTTTCTCTCACTCTCCTTGTAATTTGATCAGTTCATCCACTGCAGATTTTTTTTTTTTTTTACGCTCCCGCTCCATGCC